TGCACACAAAGGACAAACCCATACCCTTGCAAAAGTTAGTACGGTACGGAGCCGATTAGTCGACTCTTTGTCCACCAACTTTAAGCAAGGATGTCTGCTCAAAAATAGTGTTTTTGTACTATTCACAGTAGCAAAGGACAAGCCTTCCTCTTAAGGCTTGACACACACTCTAAACCCTACCTTACTGCATTGAATGTTCATTTAATGCACTGGTATAAATAGAATTGTTTCTTCTCCATGCAGAGTGCGCGCATCACTCTCCAACCTAATTCTTACTTCAAGCATCCTCTAGCTTAAGTAAAGGATCTTTCATATATTATTCTCTTTTCTGTGTTTGCTATAGCTTCGTGTGTAACCAAAGATTGTTTAGATAAGTTTTTCTTTACCTTATCTTTCCGCAAACAGTCTTGTAAAATCTGTATTAATCTTCTCTATCTATATATATTTTAAATTTGAAAACCTTGTGTTTGTATTCATCCTCCTCTTCTACAAACTGTTTCTTATCTTATAGACCCTTTCGGGACCAACAATTTAACTCACATCCTGCTACTCTATAAAAAAACACTTACAGTGTCTTTTACTGGAATGATCTGAACCAAAGGCGTGGACCCCTTTTATAGGCATGTAATCTCTTTTAACTTTCACTGCTCCACTGGAGTGGAGCATGTTGGAACTTGGTTTACTACGGAAACTTTGTAGTACATACTACACAGGAGCAAAGATGAAATGGAACTCACTTAATAAAGCCCAGTGCTTGGACTTTAAATAAATTAAGGGGTTGTTTATTTACCTCTTAATAGTTCTATTAATAGGCAACTTCTGAATCGTTAAGAGATGAATCTTGTTTGACAAAAAAATGTCTGCCTCTTAATGATTCAAAAACTCTCTGAATGATTTTGTATCCTGGATCTCTCTTAACATTTAAGAGCCCTAATTTCATTGTACACAATTACCAAACAATTATATTTCATTTTCTGCTATATCATGAGAGCATCTTAATCATTATGCACCAAACCATTTAACAATTATCAAACAGCCCTTAAAGAGTGACATTAACTTGGGCTTGAAATGTTGTTTGGGCTTTTTAAATAAAATTATATATTAATGTCAAAGACAAGGTCTTAGGGTCTTATTGGTGTCTCAAATCCTGATACAAAGCCTCAATCTATTTCTCGATTACTACAAAAATCTACGCTATCAAATAAAAAATACAGTTTTTCTACATATATACAAAAGTATGAAAGATGTCTTTCAAATGTATAGCCATGGTTGAAATCAGAGCCAATCAGATAGCAAAACCAATTAGTAATTCTTATATTTATCTTTATATATCTTAGAGTAAAACATACAAGGAATGATGTGACATTATCATGAGTGAATATTCTTTCATTTCTTGAACTGTGGGTGAGTTCTGTATATCCCACATTAGTGGAGATATGAAAGATTTACAATGAATGGTGAATATATGAAGAGAGGTTGAGATGTCTTTGTGGAAACTCATTGGGTTGGCTGCTATTAACCGATCCTCTAAACTGATGTTATTGGCTTAATTTGACCGACCCTCCGAGCTCATAGGTAGACTCATTTTAGCCAACCCTCTTTTAGCAAAAAAATGTTAACCATACCAAAAAAAAAAAAAAAAAATTTTTATTAGGTTTAAGTATTTTAAAATCTTGAAGTACGGTGTAATTTTGGTTATCGACATTCCACACGTAGTGAAATGAACCATGTAGAGGCTCCATTTACCACAAGCCATTTGGAATTCCACGTCATCAGGCCCCTAAAGCTCACT